TGGGAACGATGCAAACCAGATCACGTAGCCAACAAGATCCTCCTGAGGCATATCATAATGGATATTAAACGTATTAGCGAAGATTTGAAGAATTTAGAGTCCAACATATACTCCGAGAAGAGAACCGGGTGGCTCACGAAGTAGCATCTCTATCAAAGCAAGGCGACTATCATTTGTTCGATCTTCCTCCTCTAATACATTATGTAATCTCTCTTGAAATGTGTTAGAGAATGAAAATTGATTTTGTTTCTCAAAAAAAAAAAAAGGGTAAATTACACCCACACCCCTGAGGTATGCTTAAATAACTGTAAGGTCCCTGTGGTATCGATAATTACACTCACCCCCCTGAAAGGTAGTTAAAAACTCTAACGGGATAATGCATTGGATACATTATTCCGATAGGGTTCTAATGGACTATTACTTTTAGCTAGTTGTGGAGATAACATAGAGTTATGGGGAGTAATGGGGTGACATGGCTCCCCCAATATTTTTTAAATCGCCCATAACTCTTTGTTGTCTTCACCACTTCCTGAAACCAATAGTCCATTAGAACCCTATCGGAATAATGTATCAAATGCATTATCCCGTTAGTGTTTTTAACTACCTCTCAGGGGGGTGAGTGTAATTATTGATACCACATGGACCTTACAGTTATTTAAGCATACCTCAGGGGTGTGGGTGTAATTTACCCAAAAAAAAAGTAGATCTCGTAATTTTGGGAACAACCCAATTTACGGAATCCTAATAAGATTTTTCTATGATTTGATATTAATTTTCTAAACTTACCTAAAATAGCAAAAATGAACTTTAAGGAGTTTAAACGACGTTGGATTGCTGAAATTTGACGTGGTTCATGAGTTTTGTTCCTTGCACCGTTTCACTTGAGATATAGTTCGTTTCGTACTCAAATATAATTTGAGTTCGTTGAAAACATTTATTTTTCCATTATTTCTTTCGATATCTCCACCGATGCCCATTAATAACTCTTCTCCGAATTAAATAGTTATTTTGCAATTTGAATCCAATTTGACGTTCCTTATCAATTAAATGTTATTTTGCTCTGATACCAACTGACGCAGAACGGAAGCACGGTAAAGGATTAATTTCTACGAATTAATCCTTTAGAACAAAATAGCATTCGGAATCCACCAGAAAAATAGAGAAAACTCTAAATATTTTATTAAAATTCGAAATTCTTCTCAAAATAAAGTCCGAAGGCGCCTATTTATACTAAAAAACTGAAAACCCTAATTAAACTAAGAAAATACCAAAAACTACCAAAACCAGCAAAAACAAGTTAAATCCTAATTCTAGTAGATTTCGTAATTTTGTGAACAACCCAATTTACGGAATCCTAAGATGATTTTTCTATGATTTGATATTAATTTTCTAAAACTTACCTAAAATAGCAAAAACGAACTTTTAGGAGTCTAAACGACGTTGGATTGCTGAAATTTGACGTGATTCATGAGCTATGCTCATGAGTTTTGTTCCTTGCGCCGTTTCACTTGAGATAGAGTTCGTTTCGTACTCAAATACAATTTGCGTTCGTTGAAAACCCTTATTTTTCCATAATTTCTTTCGATATCTCCACCGATGCCCATTAATAACTATTCTCCGAATTAAATAGTTATTTTGCAATTTGAATCAAATTTGACGTTCCTTATCACATATCTTCATATATAAATCTTCACACCGACGTAACTTATGTTAATGATTTTTCTCTGCAACTCCGGAACCTTGCACTTGGACTAGCAATCTGTAGAATCAACCCTTTGACTATACGTGGTTTCAATGATGCCAACAACTGATTATTTATATATTTGATTCTCATTGTTTATTCTTTTATCAAGCTTTTTATTTTTGTATACTATTCAGTGACATGTTTCAGTACTTTGATTGATGCAACTGATTGCATGTGGCTAAACATATAAAATTGTATAAGAAATCACTTTGTGGACGTTATTATGTTCGCATTCTAACAAATTGTTCGAGCTGCTTTCTTGTCTATTTGTAACCAAAAAATCATTTTTCATGTTCTACATTTGAGCAATCGAAATAATATATTTTTTTGTTTCATATATTTTTCTTCTTCTCTATTGAATTTGTCCATTATTTTTTATGTTTCGAGGCCAAAAAACGCTCCATATCGGTTTCATTTTGTTGTTGTTTGAAGCAAAATTATTTTTAAAATATTTATTTATGTGTTATTTGTTGAGAAACTAATAAACAATATACAAGAAGTTGAGAATAAAGTAAGGGGAATATGTAATATATTATTCCATATCTTCAAGTGTACAAATACATTACATGGTGCTCTATATATAGTAGCACTAGAAAGACCTCTCAAAGGTCAAGAGTTACAAGGCCATAATGGGATCATCAATAGGTATTATGGTGTGATAATGGTGGGAGTGATGGTGCTTGATGATGGTGAGTAATGGTGGTCATCCATACCTTTAAGATTTCATAACACTCCCCCTTGGATGTCCACCATCTATGGAATATGCCTCGTTAAAAACCTTGTTCGGAAAACCCATTGGGAGAAAACTTAATCGAAGGAGAAAAGAGTACATATCCATGCAAACCTTGCGAGCGTGACACTGCCTCGTTAACCTTGCCAAGAAAAACCCATTGGGGCAAAAACTTGGTCGAAGGAAAAAGAGTACAGTGTTATTATAAGTAGTGCTCATGCTCCCCCTGATTTCGACATATGACTTTTAATCAATGAAGTAGTTGGCAAACTCCGATATCTGAATATGATAATTTATTGTTCGACTTTGATATAGCCAACTATATCCACTTTAAGATCCACGAGATTTTCCATAAAGACAATGTAATATTTTACACTTTTGCAAATTATATTGTAATTCTTTCATTATCTTCTCAAGGACTTAAAAGATCTTCAATTATATCCAATGTTTGTACAAACATAATATCACTCAACAGATGAGTCTTATCCATTTCTTATTTGTATTAATGGATAAATTTCATTTGATAGATCTTCTTTTCAAGATGCATTTTGCCCTTCCAATATTTTTCATCTCAAATTATGTCACCAAATAATTGACCATCTTTGGGAGCTCTTCGTGAGTCTCAACAAGATTTAGGTCATTCACATCTATACCATGATAATGGTAAGTCAAATTATTTGATCATTGACAAGGTATTCACTGAGGTGAATGTACAATATTTTGAAGATAATATGTAAATGGATCATTTCTAGAGTCTAACTCACGAGTCCTCTGATTATATGCACAACGCGTTATCATTTCTTCGTTAATTTTATGATCCATATAGTTATGCGGTAATTGCACCCATATGATGCATGTCAAGTATTTTGAATACCATCATAAAGTGATTGCATCATATAAATATATTTTCAAAAGACATTTAAATTTACGCAATGATTATACCCACCTTTGTACTAAAGGCTCCACAACTTATTTGTGTTGACTTCAAGTCAATGTACAATTTATTTCATCAATAATTTCAAATTATCATGGTCAATTGCATTTGTGAATGCATATTCTAATGACCAATTAAATGTCGACATCTATTAAAATGTATGAGCTTCAAGCTCTTCACATTAAAAATAATTGCTACATATAGTTATTCGATAACATCTTTAGTACTCCACATATTTCTTTATAATCAATCAAGAGCTCACCATTTCACTTTTCCGGTACCAGATTATCCTTAGAGGATTATATTCATATAAATGGGGATTGTTGCCTTTGTGGGTACGATCTCTAGTAGAGATCCATATCATTACATGTACCATGTATTTTTCTCTTATAGAGAATTTTCTATATTGCATCAATAAAGTTTTTCATACTACTTTATGTGCGTGAGCTCATTATTTATTTCAATAAAAATGTTCTACATGGACAAAACGCGCGCTTTTGAGTTTCACAATGTGGAAGGAGTATTGAGGAAACCTTGTCCACTTTATTTTAAAACTCAATATCAAATTCAAATTGGTACATGAATATTAATTCAAAAGAATTTTCAATTCTTTAAGATAATATATCAGTACAACGACAAAATTGAGAACTAATGTCTCAAATATATGCCTCTCTATTCACTTAGAGAGCGAGCTAGCCATGGTTTTTTTGCCAATCAACTCTTTATTGGCAATGTATACCCCCAGGGAGTCGATAACCCTTGGCGAGCGAAATATTTTTGGGGCAGAGGTAAGCCCCCAAGGAGTCGATAACTCTTGGTCGAAATGTTTTAGGGGCACTGTATACCCCCAGGGAGTCGATAACCCTTGGCGACGAAATATTTTGTGAATCCTGTTGAGGATCTAGTGGGACATCCGAGGAAGGCCTCGTTGTGGATCCCGAGCATGGGGAGGAGGATGTGACAAGCCAGAGCCTCCAGGGACTAGGAGGTTGTTAGCTGTGTCATTTTCTCTCCGAGCAGACGCCTCAGGGGGATCTTGTTGGCTACGTGATCTGGTTTGCATCGTTTCCACAGACGGCGCCAAAACGATGATGCTAAAGTTTAGATCACCTGAGGTAGTGTAGAAAATGAACTGGGAGAGCAAAGCGGATCAGTAGCTTGACAACTTGATGATCCTGAGGTACCTGCGATCATAGAACACGTGAACTAGGCAGGGGGTTGATCCGGCGAAAACCCCTCCGACGCTCAAGTCAGACGTGCTGATAGTGGAAATAGTCCAGAGAATACAGTTAATAGTATTGCTCAGTTAATAGGACGTACCTTAAGGAATGAGTTCAAACCTTTATTTATAGCTTAGTTGAGATTGTCGGGCCCAAACCTTACTTAAAGGTGATTGGGCCTCGGTGATAGTGGTCTTCGATATTGGGCTCGTGGCCCAGTAGGTAAATAATTTGTAGGCCCATTGGGTTGGGCCAATTAGGCATATCACACATACATATATATATATATATATATATATATATATATATATATATATATATATATATATATCTCCCCATAAAGAGATAAAACGAGCTTGAATTTGTGCCAAAAATACAGAGTTCTTCCTCGTGTTCACGCGAGGAAGAAAGATAGCTTACAGGTACGAGAAGAAACTCTTTTTTTTTTAATTTTCTTTAAATTTTATTTATTTATTTATTTATTTTTCCGAAACGCTACTCGTCGAACATCAATTGATGTTCTTGTCTTTTAGGTAGGCAAGATGATTGTATATGCAGTACGAGATGCCGTGAGTGACATCAAGGGTTCGAGGGTCTGATTAGTTTTCCTTTTTTTGTTTGATAAGTACTATGTAAAAATGTTCGTGTCAAGAAGATGAGGCTGCCTTCATGTTTTACTTGTGTTAGTGTAGTAGTGTAATGCAATGAAAAAAAAAATGTTCGGTTTATCGTCTCTCTCTCTCTCTCTCTCTCTCTCTCTCTCTCTCTCTCTCTCTCTCTCTCTCTCTCTCTCTCTCTCTCTCTCTCTATCTATCTCTCTCTCCCTCCCCCTCCCCCCCTCTCTCTCTCTCTCTCAATTTATTTTGAAACAAAAACATCCAAACAAAGCCTTAGTTATTAATAACAATTCATCTTTATTTCATCTTACCTGGTATTTTTCTCCATTATTTCCCTTAAGAACCAAACAAAACCAGGGGCGGATCCACCTATGGTCTAGGGTGTGCAGTTGCACACCCTTGGGTTTGGACAAATATTATTGTTATAGATAATTTGACAAAAAAGGCTGTTGGTTGAGGTGGTAAAGGTATTTTGAATCCACTAATGGGTCATGGGTTCGATTCCCCACTCTCTCAAAAATTGTCTTCTTTTTCAAATCTTAACATTTTCACATTTTTTCTCTTTAAATATTCCACAATTCACCCAAAATTTTTAAATTGTAAATTTTTGGTCCACTATTTTTAACATTTTCACATTTTTTCTCTAACTATTTCCACAATTCACCCAAAATTTGTAAATTGTAATTTTTTCTCTTTAAATATTTCCACAATTCACCCAAAATTTGTAAATTGTAAATTTTTGGTCCACTATTTTTATAAAGTGATATTTAAATTTTTTATTCTACAATTTCGAACCCCCTTGGCAAAAATCCTGGATCCGCCACTGAACAAAACTAAGGAAGATAAATTTCCTCAAAATTATTTTCATCACCATTTTTCTTAGAAACCAAACACAATTGATAATTGGGATTTCAAAAGTCCTTGATTTTCTTTTCCTTTGCATTTTCATTTTCCTTATTTTGAAATCCATGAACCAATCAGAGCCTAAATGATTCATTGTAGTAAACTGTAAAGATAAAAGGACAAATATATCCTTCAATAAAATAATATAAGATTACAATAATATATAGGGCACTTTACAAATAAGCACATCAATTGGTACTTATTTATAAATGGGTCCGAACAAAAAACTTTTACAAAAATGTCCACACGTGGTTAAGAGGTTTGTAAAAGAGTAAAATACCCCATCACATTTTAATATGCTATAATTTCATCATTTAACTTAATCTAACCTCAATTTGACCCCAAATTTCACAAATTATTCAATTTTAACCCAAAACACAATTTTATCGATAATTTAGTCCGTCGCCACCGTTTAAAATCTCCTTCCAAATTCTTAAAAAATTGCTACGAAATAAAAGAAAATGGTTTTTTTATTTTTTATTATTTTCGGATTTTTTAGCCATTTTTCATTTTTTTTTATTTTTTAATATTTTTTTTAATAAAAATATTTTTTTTAATTTTTTTTAAACAAAAAATTGAATTTTTTTTCTTGACAGATTTACAACTCCGAATATGACTATAGTTGAATATGTGACTATGTAGATATATTCTTTCTTTATATTGCATTTTTTCACATTTTCAACTTAAAAATTCCGATTATATAATGTGGTATGGTCATGTTTAGCAAATTATATAAAACAACGAAGATTCCCTACTGTTTACGAAAACAATCCAATCAAAATTCACACAAAAAATAACAATTTTGAGTCTAGTTATTCGAATGACTACAGTCATATTCAACAATAGTCATATTCGAATATGACTACAATCATATTCGAAAAATACATAAATATGACTATAGTCATATTCGAACATGACTATAGTCCTGTTATGAAAAAAAATCGAAAAATACATAAATAAAGATAGAAAAATAACGAAAGAGAGTCATGGGGAGTCGACGACAACGGCGATGGTGGCAATGGTGAAGGAAAGAGAGTGAGAGAGGCGGCGACAGTGGTGGACAAATCTGGAAAAAAATATAAAAAAAATGAGAAAGATAACGAAAAAGAGAGAGACTCTTACTTGGAAACGAAGGAGGAAGCGGCGGCAACGAGCGGCGACGGTAATGGTTGTGTACAAATCTATGTGGAGACGATGGTGGTGTAAAGAGAGAGAAATCGAGAGAAACAATGAACACGAGAAAAAAATAAATCACTAATCGAGTGAATCAACAATAGTCATATTCGAACCAGAGTAGTCTTGATGCTGCTGTTTCAGATCTGGAGAGAAAAAAAAAAAGAAAAAAATCGAAAATAACGAAAGGGAGGGAGGGGGAGGCGACGACAACGACGGTGAATGACAGAGAGAGTGGGGACGTGGCTACGGTGGCGGTGGTGGACAAATCTGGAAAAAAAAGAAACAAAAGAAAAAAAAAAGGAAGAAAAAACTGAGAAATCGAGAGAAAACGAAAAAGGAAAATCTCCATGTAACGCATCCGACGAAGCGCGGCGACGAGGTGGGGGAGGCACCGCCACCACCACTTGTACGGAGGAGGGCCTCCTGCATTAGGTTTCGGCCGACCGGAGGTTGAAAGGTATTTTTGACTCCGGCGGTGACGAGTGCACGAACAACGGTGGCTATGGTGAGTGGACTATGGTGGTGGTGTGAAAAAAGATGAAGGAGGGCGCCGCGGTATACAGATCTGGAGAAAGACAGAAAAAGAATTAAAAAAAAAAAAAAAAAGAAGATGAGAGATCGAGAACGAGAGAGAGAGAGGGGGAGTGAAAGAGTGAAATAAATTACATCACGTTAAAAACCTAATCACATAAGGGCACTTTTGTCTTATCATGTCTGGTTAGGGGTGTCCCACTAATTAAAAATGAAACTTGGGTATAGGCAAAAATCTCTAATAGTCAATTGAGTTTAGTTCAAAATATTTTCCATTTGAGGGGTATTGCGTATTTCCCCTTTATTAAAACATAAATTTTGACTTGAATTTACACACATAAATTATAATATAAAGGAACCTATAGCAAATTACCCCTTAAAACAAAAATATGGAATTGCACCTACTGGAGAGGAGGGTGTCGGGTGGAAGATAAACTCCTTTTTACCCCGTAAATTATGTTGGGAAAATAAAAATTGTTGGAATTGTTACGAATTACAATTAATTAAGTGAGAAAAAGCAAGTTAAGAAAAGAGACTATTGAAAATATTTAACAATGGTATAATAGAAAATTATATAATTAATACAGTATTGACATTATAAAGTAGGGTTAATATGCTAGTAGCCCCTAATTTGAAACATAATTTGAACTAAATGACAACTTTAAATCCAATATTTTAATTAAATCCTTAGATTGAAATAATATATGATCCACGTCCTTGATTTTTTTTTTAATTTCTATCTTGCCCTTAACCCGAAAGCTTATAACCACATATTCACGTTTATTTCTCAGATCTACTTTTTCTCTTTTTTCTCTTTTATTCTTCTCGTTCTCTCTCTGTCTCGCGTCTCGCTCTCTGGCTCTCTCCATATCTCTCGTGCGAGTTATTTCTCTCAAGCTCTCTCTCTTCACCACTCCACTCCATGGTTTGAAGGGAGATGGTGGCAATGACGATGGAGGCGTTGGCGGCATGTGGGGGGTGAAGATGGAGGCGGCGGCGGCATGCAGGGGGCTGCGATGGCTGCTCTAGAGGGGAGGCGCCGGTGGTGACGCTTTTTGGGCACGAGGACGACGACGGCGCTCAGGGATGGTGTCGGTGGCGCAACAATGTTGGGGGTGGGGATGGCAACGGCAACGTGGGTTGGGTTTGTGGCGCATCTTTAGCGGTGTGGGTGACGTTGGCATCGTGGATCTAGGGTTTGGTGGAGGCGATTTATGGTTTGGTGGGGCAGATCTAAGATTTTTCGTTTCATGTCTATGGGTGTCTATGGTGTCTGACGGCTAGGGTTAAAAGGAGGAGTTAGGGGTTTAATAATATTGTGACTACGGATTACTACAGTTTTCTACGGGTGTCTATACGTATCTACGGTATACTACAACTTTCCTACGATTTTTTGTAGATGACTATGCCGAAAAAAAATTAAAAAATCATAATTTTCAATATTATGTAGGAAAAAATAGATTATTATAATTGAGAAAAAATAAGAAAATGCAAAAAAAAAAAATAATAACAAAAATGTTAGATGCAAAACTTAAAATATTAAATGCAGAATATAAATGATAAATACAGTTTAAATATTATTTGGTGCAAATTTTATTTTGTGTATGAAGGGCATTTTTGGAATGAAATTTATAAAGGATGTGAAGCAAACGTTTAGTTTGATTTGTCATTTAGTTCTAATAAGTTTTGTCACCACGGACCTATATCTTAAAGCCCCTATAAAGTAACACATAATATACAATAAAAAATTTTCAAAAGGGACAAATATTTAGAATCCGAAGGACTATAATTTTAGTTGCAACTTGCAAGGCTATATTTCTCATTTTAAATAGACATTCATTTAATATCCAAATTTCAAGGAATTAATCATAATCCGGTTATGAAAAATATTGTTTTGAAGCCCTTTCATGTAATCTTTCATCAACTACGTAGAGTTTATGCAAATATAATGCATGGCACTTATACATTGCCTGAACAATTCTATTCAATTCATTCAACAGCAATATTTTATTTAACGGTATAACTCATACGTCTGCTATGCAAGAGCAAGACTAAGAGCTGTGATCACTGGGCATATTTAAGAATAAAATTCTTAATATCCTTAGCATAAATATTTATATATTATTAGTTCATATAAGCATAACGATCGTAAACTACGCCATTTTCAATCGCATTTTCCAACCCATGTTACACTGGATATCCCGAATTTAGTTCGTCAGCAACCGTTACCTCATAAATCAACTTAACCATTCGAGGTAACCTAAAGCAAATACATGACTCAGAGACAAAACCTTCAAATTCGGAGGAAAACGGAATGTAACGATTCACAATCCTGGGGCGAAAAAAAACACAGAAAATAGATGTTTCATAAAATTGATCATATTATATATACCACAGATGAGGAAAACAAGCACGAGCTGCAAAACGACAGAGAAAAAAGAAAAGGAAAAAGAAAATACGGATGACCAGAAAATGTATAGTTGTAAGTTGTAAGTTGTAAAAGCAATCGTATCTTAGGGGCAGTTTATTTTATCTACAAACGAAAGGAAGAAAAGAAAAGAGGACGAAAGAAAAACGGGATTTACAGATATGGAAGGTTCAAACTGCTGCCAAATTGTCGAAATCTGTATCATCAACAGTGAGCCATTCATTTGACTCCTCACTTTCCGATTCTTTATCTCTCAAAGAAGATTGGTCTGCCTTTTGTTTAGCATCAATATTTTCATCCAACGGAACCAAACCTTTATCGCTCTTTGATGATTTAGGTCCCGATAGATTATCAGATAAATCGTTGTCATCATCTTCAAGATCACTAAACGACACATCATCTTCTTCATTTTCAGGTTGTGTTTGAGGATCAGAAAATCTGCGTGTATCGATTTCTTCATAATGATGGCTTGATTCAGTTTGGCTTGCAATCGCTTTCTGTTTAGTTGGATTTGGAGCCGATGCATCTTTAGGATGAGATATGGTTTCACCGCCTTCACCTTCAGTGCTATACCCTTTTCCAATTTCTTTGTTGGTATCAGAAGATTCTTCATTTGCAGCCGTTTCTTGATCTACGTCGGTCTTATTGTGAAGTTTCTTCAGAAGTGTCTCCCTTGCTTCAGCAACCTGCACAAAACTTACTAGTGAATAAACGGATTTACCTAAAAAAATATAGTGTTTCACCTAAAAAAACAAAAGCCAAATGAAAAGAAACAAAAGAAAGAAATTGGCCTTAATATATGGTCTTACAACACACGAGCTCGAACGGATTCAATCCCCCGACCTCTCACCAAAGACTACAATGGAAGAGGCTCGGGTACCACAAGACTAAGCTTTAGTTGGTATAAAGTGTTTCACCTAATAATACTGAAAATCTTTTTAAAACTGAAATATAATCAGCAACATTTTTTATCATGTTTTCAAGACCAAGGAAAGAACAGATTCAGCACGATCGGATCTTTTCGCAAAATCTAACATTTCATTGTTGAAAGAATGATACATAAAAAACACATTATACAAGTAATACGCTTCTCCTCCAAATAACAAGTAACCGATTGGGTACATGATTTTTGCTAACAGGAGGAAACATTAATCAAGTGAGAAAGGATTTCCCAAAGTACTTAAAAGGCCAAAACACACCAATCTGACAAATATACTCTAGAAAAGTTCAAGAGGTCTTAATCCCATTCAGCCGCTTGAAGGCAATCTCCACTGGGTTGTCCAATACAACTCAATATTATGACTGTCGGAGAAGAAAAAAAGCATTTACCAGCCTCTTTTTTCTTTGACACAAAGAGATGGAAAATTTTGTCGAGGAAAAAAAAAATCTAAAGTTACAACAGTCATCAACTAGGATGGCATGTTATTCATTTCTTCTACATTTTCAACTCGTTACTTTGCCAATGAATGGTGCAGCCTTAACCAGATCATTGGACACGTACAGTGATCAGTTCAAAACAACGCCAGCGAATTGAAAAATGTCAACCGTTTGCATACCTGAGAGTAATGGTAAAAATTTCACTTTGGTTTTTGTTAGAATGCTTTACCCCTCCATACAACCGAGACTAAAGAACAACTTGCCGTAATCTTAACAAAAGACAGAGGTTTCTACAACTTCACGATACATCTACCATAACCGATACTAGAGAACAAGAGGAGGGCATTTCAAAGCAACAATAACGTTATGTGACACTGAATGTTTTATTCTGGTCATCCTAAGAAAGCATTCCTCCAACGTAATATTTAGATTGAAAAACGATATCCAAAAGAAATATATAAAATTCTGACTTGGGAAACAATATTCATCATTCACTTTCTCCAGTTTTCAAAGCCCAATACAGCAATAATACCTGTCAGGCAGGATCTATAGTGTAGGGGTGTCAACTGCCTGCATAAGAGAAACACCTATTGTGCATTCATATGTACATCCAGTTACCTATTGGCTATTAAATATCTAAAATATAATATCTTTATCCTCTTAGAATCCACAAGAATAAATAAATATTATATCGACATTAACTCGTCGTAGAATCAGTCTTAGAAACAAAAATCTTTTTAATCAGGAATGGTGGGATGTGGAAAGATTATATGTAGATGTTAATGGTTGATCAAAATTAACTGAACTGTTATTATATCATTGGCAACCTAAGCCAATTTGATGGATGGATTTCTCCCAGTACTGTCACTAAAATGTTAAACTACACAACAGCGTCTTCATATAGTCTCTTAGCAAGACAATCCAATAAAAGAAGGCAACATTTTTTAAGAGTCAGAAGAACTGCTCTGTTTAACTTATACGACAGATCTATAAATGTATTAGATGTTTATCATATACTTCGTTTTTCCTATAGAAGTCTTACGTCTTTTGACAACTATCATTCGTGATATTAAAGGCTTACGCTTCTACTCTAACAATTGCCGTAAAATATTGACTAGAATCAAAATGATTCTTGAAATGCAGGTTGCATAGATTCCATGCACAAATAGATAAACAAAATAGAACACCAAAGTCAGGTATAGCCTTGCCTGTGGAGTCGAGAGAAGCTCCAAATCTTCTTCATTCAACCTTGGAAGAAGTAAAATGAAGTATATCAGCCAAAACTTCGCGTTGCTCATTTGACTGCAGATTTTCTGCCTGAGTGTTACAAAGTCGGGTATCAAATCTTCAATATTTGCAGCATGTTCTCTCTGATAATCTGAAAGGTCAAAATCTGTATGAAAGTACTTTAGTCAGGGGCCAACTCATAAACCACAATAAGACATGATAATATATCTTTGTTGATGATAAAATAGAATACAAAGTGGTACAATAAGGTATTGGAGTCAAAATAACTTCAATACCCCATTCTATATTGTCTAATACATTTAGATGTTACGCTGGCATTCACATGAATCCCACAAGGTTTATTGTCACCAACAGACCAACTAATTGTTTCTCAAATCTTTCCATAGATATAATGTTGCCCATGCACAAAAGCTTTTTTTCTTTTTTTCAAATTGTTTGTAGTATAGAATGTTGAGATTACACATACAGGTACATCCTCACAATTACCCGGTAATTTTGCAAGTTATATCTGTACACGCATATATACACCTCAAAAATCATGTCTCCATCCTTAACTTGTCAAGTAGTGGTTTATGGACTTCTTTAGAAGGCAGACTTCCAGAAATGACACTAGAAAATATTGGCCACTAATTAATCACGGAACAATGAGTTGGGGGTTTCATATGTTGTCCATAGCATTTTTCTTAAAAGATAATGAATTTCTAATATGAGAGTCATCGATGTTTCACAGGTTTTGTTTGCTCAACTGTAGAGATACCTTCTGCAGGCAAGCCACAAGCTCAACTTCAAGTAAGTAAATTGATAACTGTACATTGAACAAGTTGTTTTACTAATATCAAAAGTTATATCTATCGTTTCTAACATCAGTTAGAACTTTCTCAAATATTGACAGTTATTCAACCATGGGAAAGTACAATTGCTAAAATCTTTTGCTGTGATTGCTCCTCTATAAGGTAGTGGCGAAAGCTAAAAGTTGATATTCAACTGAAAATTCAAACTAGTTAAAATAAATTCATTATTTATATTAGCTTTTAATTCAATTATTTTTTCATCAAAACGTATTATGTTACAAAAACATCATGGACTTCCCACTCATGAGCTATATGTTGAATCATGCAAGCATTAGAAGTGCAAGTTCAGCATCTTCTCATATATGTAGTGGCCAAATAATTGCACTTGAATATTTTCCAGAAAGAAAATCTAACAACATAAAATGCACACATCAACTCAAATGGTAACTTTACATAAAATCATAAATAAATCAATAGAAATTGCTGAGGCATTCTAAAAATATTCTTGCGAGTTGCTGCGACTGTGGAAAACTGTAACAGGAAAAGTTAAATCTGGAGCACAGCGTAAGAATATTTTTCTGAATTTCTCATGAAGTAGTATTTTCAAAACCTCCTGACATACTAGGTACAAATAATATTTCTTGTTTCGATAATCATGATCGACCATGCACGATGATAAATAATTGTGATACAGTCCTTTGATCTAGGAACATTGAGTTATTATATAATCCACTTGGCTGTATTACTAATTGCAGGAATATTAGCATGAACTGTTCCTATTGGGTTTTAGAATATCTGTCAGGTCTCCACGTAAGTAGAAAATTACAAAAGCATACAACTTTCCAACATAAAACTAAACCTAATTACTCCTTCCAACGAAATACATCAGCAAATCAGTCCCAATTTTGTGACCTCACTACAGGGTGTTAACAACTGCACACCCACTACTCCAAATCATGCATTAACTTCGAATGATTCACACAAACAATATACAAATTTAAGCCATCTCTACAATAAAGTGATTTCAAAGTTTATGAAATGCAAGTCCTATGAGAATAAGCAATTAGCTTACAGAAACACTACATGATTAATATATGCACTTCCTTCTTAGTGTTCTTAATTTATAGATGCGTCAACCATAAACAGTAAGATTTCCCTCTCTTGCTTAGTATATAACTTTTGTCGTCGAGCCAGTTAAGAACAAGACAGACAACTTAGTTCAAACTCAAAATTCATAATTCTCACAAGTTTTCCAAATTGAAACGCATAAAATACTATCGCTCGTACTCTAAACTCTCCCTATGTAATGAATGGTAGAAGCTACTCAATTGACATTGCAATTGATCAAAACAAGTATCACAATAAATGTACAGTAGTTGAAACCTACAGTTAACATGGCAAAAATGAATAATTCAAAAACTTGTTTAACGAATTGAAATTCAAGGTAAATTTACCATCGGGCAAAGAGAGAGGAAAATCAGTCCATAGCTCTGGCCGCGCAGAGATTTTCTCCACAAAATCCAAAACTTCTTCATTGATTCCAACTGCATCTTCATCCACCTCCACCTCCTCCTCTTCCACCTCATCATTCTCATCGAGTTGACTCTGGAATTGCAACAAATTGGAAGTAAATTTCGAGGAAATTAGAGACAAACCCGATCTAAAGGAGCCCTGAATTTCCGCCAAATCGTTTTTTATCCCCACAATTGTCTCCGAAGAAGAAGAAGAAGAAGAGGAGGAGGAAGGACCAGATAAGGACACAGCCTGCGGCGGGGCTAGAAAGGCGGCGACACCGCGGAAAACGGCGGAGAGATCATCCTTAGCGCCGGAAGAAGGGGTTTGGGGGGTGGTTTGGCTGGGTGCGGTGGTGGGATGATCATCGTCATCGGAGAAGGGGTTGAACAGTGAAGGAATCCAAGACGACATCGTTTTGTTCTTCAATTGATATCGTGATGATTGAATCGGAGGGTTATCAGTAATGAATGCTCTGCAGATACTGAGTTGCGTTTAAGCTCTGTGTTCTCTCTCTCTCTCTCTCTCTCTCTTGTAATTCTACAACAAAGAGTTTGGCTTTGGCTTTAGTTTATGGCTTTGGCTTTAGTTTAACTTTTTGCTATTTTGTGTGTAAGGTGCCAACAAACGTGCCCAAAAATTGAGGCTACTTTGTTTACGTCTTCCAAATTCAAATTCCGTCTCTTTTTCTCTACTTTTTTCTGTTTTTTTTTTTTTTTTATTATATACTAGCATTTTTTCCCCGTGTTATACATGGGATATTATTTCAATAGTAAAAAAAAAATCAATTTAATACATAATAAAAAAATATAGTACACGAACATAGTAAAATTTAATAATGTAGTATTATTCATATTTTATATAACATTAGTTTGTTTAAATTTTACATATTAAGATTTATAATCCAAGATTCCAAATATATAGATTAAAATTTAACAAATCGAATTTGTATCTTTAAGATTTGAGATATATTGACCAAAAATAAGAGATTGATAAATGTTGAAAATTAATAGAGAAAAAATATTAAAAACAAATAATTAAAAAAGACCATTAGGGTTTTTTAGGTTGTCCAGCATTTCTTTCTTTTATATATAAAATTTCTTTAATGAGTAAAAATTCGTCATTTGATTTCGAAATTGGGATAGCATTGTAATCGGATGATCCGTTTATATAAAAATTAAAAACAAAAAACAGATGCCAGTGAACGTATGCCATGGGGACAAAATCATAAATTATTCTCTTTTCTTTCTTTTATTTTTTAGGGGAAAAGGATATTATTAGGCTACTCGAGCCAAATTCAAAGCAAGTGAAAGACCAAGATAAATGGTTCAGTTTAGGTAGAGCATGGGCAAGACAATTTCCAGCTCTTTTAAAAACTAGAAAAGAAATAGACTGAAAATTACGAGCAGTAAACAAACTTTCTTCAATGATGGCTCCAAAAGGAGCCAAGCTAGCTTCGTGTTCAAACACGTGCAAGTTCTCCTTTAACAATGATGGAATTCCATCATTTCCGCAGCGCAACCGCTTGAGCTCCATCGTTGGCTGGTAATGGCCGCCCATCAAAGTTATTAACCGCCAACCATATGCACTCGCCTCCAGTGGCGGATCCACTGTGGTGCAAGGGTGTGCAAGTTGCACACCCTTGAATTTAAAAAAATAAAAAATTAACTATATATAAATATATATTATATATCAGTTAAAATGTGACAAGTTTTTAATATGTTGCTGTAGCTGACATGGCAAAGGTTGCTCTATTACCCTCTAAAAGACCAGGTTCGAGTCCCATCTCATAAATTTGTAAATATTTTTTTTTAAATTTGAAGTTATTGCATATTTTCATTGGAAGATGCAAAAAAAATCTTTTTAAATTTATGTGTAAAGTATTAAAAAAAATCGGGGGCGTTGCCCCCGAACCCCATAAATTAGTCATGAGCTACCATCGATGTAGTGTAGAATTTTTTGTTCGCCCGGGAAGCCGAATCTACATAGATTTTTATTACACCTTGCGCTGGAGGAAGCCATGTGGAGGGGTGCGTAATTCGGTGACATGCATGCAAAGTTGTGTTCGCTTGCTGGAAAAAATTCAGGTAGTCCGCACACCAGCTAGTGAGTCCCTCCGATTCTATCGTGTCCTCGTCGTGTAACAGTTTATACCTCACATCCCAAAACTTCAAGGCCACCACCAACACAAGAAGAAATTGTTCATCACTCAAATTCTGGCGAAGATGGCCCATCCATATAGCAAAATTATGGGTTGGAGGTGGATGAGGTCATGATGCCAGATATCATTTGTGAGGGGACATTCCAAGATCACGTGCATAATTGTCTCAAGAGCCCCACACCTAGCACATAATGGGGTTGGTGCCACCTTACGTTATTGATACAATTCTGCAGCCGTCGGCAAAATGTTCAAGCACGTTTGCCAACAAAATATGCGAATTTTCGGTGGGAGCTTCACTTTCCAAATCATCTTCAATGGGTCAGAGTCCAAGCAATTGGAAGATTGACCTCTACCAGCCTTTTCACCATTGCCAAACCCAGATCTCGACAAAATGAAACGATAGCAAGAATTAACCGTAATAATATTACCTCTCGGAGAAAAGTGCCATATATCCCGATCTGTAGCGTTAGGACCTCCGATGGTGACAGAGAGAATTCTATCTCGATCGACAGGCCAAAACCCTTGTTCAATGAGAGGTATATTCCAAGAGTATGAGGGTGTATCAATAATATCTGCTATAGTATTGGGGAAAGGGCTCTCAATAGGTCTTTGAATAATTACCTTCATGTTACCATCTTCCGCGAGCCATTGATCTTCCCAAATTGAAGTTTTTCGTCCATTGACTATCCCCCTTCTAATTCCCATCTTTAGAAAAGGACGCGCAACCAAGATGCTCCGCCATATTGCTGAAGAACGAGACCTCATATCGGCCGACAAGAAGTCAGTGTGAGGAATCTATTTTCTTCTAAAATCTTGGAGAGGAGAAGGTCCAGTTGGGACACCAGCCGCCAGCCTTGTTTTGCCAAAAGAGCTAAATTAAAACTTCTCATATCACGAAACTCTATGCCGCCCTCTTCCTTTGGTAATCACAATTTACGCCATGACACCTAAGCCATACCCTTATTACCACTGTTTCCCCACCAGTAATGCCGAATAGCCAACTCGATCTCGTTGAGAAGTCGGTGTGGGATCATAAAACAACTCATGATATATGTTCGGATGGATTGCAAGACCGACTTAACCAACACTTCTTTCCCGGCTCACGAAAGTCGTTTTGCATCCTAACCTCTATTTTTTTACCAAACTTGGTCCTGTAGATAGCCAAATATGTATTTCCTAGTTCGTCCGATAGAGCATGGCATTCTCAAATACTTCGCATGTTGTTCTACTACTTTAAACCGAGAATCTGACTCACGGCATCCTTTCTCGCATGCGGTGTAGAGGGGCTAAACACCATTGTGGATTTTTCGAGATTGATTTCTTGGCCCGACGTACGAGCATATTTCTCCAAAATCAGTTTTACAGTAAGTGCGTCCAATTCCGATGCCTCAAAAAAGAACAATGTGTCATCGGCGAAGCATAGATTTGAGAGCGTGGGGGCCATAGTGGCAATTAATACCGTGAAGTCTTCCTCCCCCGACGGCTTGCTTGACCAATGGCTTTCGTAGCTTCGGTGCAACATATAAACATATACAGGGATAAAGGATCCCCTAGGTGAAGTCATGTTGAAGGTCGGGCGGATCCAAATTGGTTACCATTAAAAAGAAAAGCATAAATAATAAAAGATATACATAACATAATAAGATCAATGAACGAAGAAGGCAACCCTCGAAGTAAAAATTTTAGGAATAAAACTCCATTCCATTCAATCATATGTTTTACTAATATCAAGTTTGAATGCTATATAATTGCTACGATTGTCAGAATTCATCTTGATATAGTGGTTTATCTCGGAAAAAACCAGAACCTTGTCTGTAATGAGCCGATTATGAACAAAAGCAGATTGGGTAGGGGAAATAAAATCATTAAGTACTAATTTGAGTCTATTAGCAATAACTTTAGACCCAAATTTATAAATAACATTGCATAAGCTTATAGGCCTAAACTCACTGATCCTTTCTGGTTGCTTAATTTAGGGGACGAACAATATAAGTAAAATTGAAACAAGATGGTAGCAAATGATTAATAAGAAAGTTAATAATGCAAGAGATAAAATCAGAGCCCAAAATGTGCCAATATTTAGTATAGAATAATCCGGGTAAACCATCGGACCAGAGGATTTGAGAGGGGCCATTTGAAAAATGGTCCGATGTACCTCATCCACAGTGAAGGTACGGGAGAGAAGGTGAATGTCGGCACTATAAATCCTTGGCTCGACACATCCCATCACCTCATCTATCTCTTCATCAGTAGGTTCGTGGTTTGGAAGATGTGGCTAAAATAGTTCGAAATGATCTGCTCAACTTCCTCAGATCTGTTATTTGACTCCCCCAATTCATCTATAATTTTAGGGTTAAATACAAAAACACCCCTGTACTATGGACTTTGTATCATTTACCCCCCGGTACTACACATAAATACAAAAACCCCCCTCACATTGCGTTTTTTCCAAAAATATGACGAAAATACCCCTACTCAAGCATATATATATGTATATATATATATATATATATATATATATATATATATATATATATATATATATTATATTTTGAGCCATTTTCACTATATATTTTACTATTTTCAGTCAAATTTACGTTGAAAATTTTGGTATTTATACTTTTTTCTCCAAAGCATCTAATTGCTTACATTTTTTTATTTTCTAAATACAACCTTTTATTTTTGCCATTTTGAGTTTCGTCATTTTTTTTCTTAAATGTCTTCGGGTAGTTCAAGCATCCTAAGATTACAAACATCTTTACAATCCTATTATTGTTGATAATTTGAACTACCGGAAGACATTTAAGAAATAAATGAATAAATTCAAAATGACAAAAATAAAAAGGTTTTTATTCAGATAATTTAAAAAAAAATATAAGTAATTAAATGTTTTGAAGGAAAAAATAAAAAAAATAAAAATTTCCCAAGTAAAATTGACCGAAAATGTTAAAAAATATAGTGAAAAATGGCTCAAACAAACCCTTATATTTATAGGTTTAGCAGGGGTATTTTCGTCATATTTTGGAAAAAATATAATAGCAGGGGGGTTTTTGTATTTATATATAGTACAGGGGGGTAAATGATACAAAGTCTATAGTACAGGGGTGTTTTTGTATTTAACCCATAATTTTATCAACTCGATTGGTTCGTTATCTCTTTGTAGCCTTTGCATGGAAAAATTGTGTATTACGGTCCCCATCTTTTATCCATTGGTCGCGACTCCGTTGTCGCCAGTAGATATCATTGTTCCCCATAGTAGGCTACTTTGTTTACGTCTTCAAAAATCAAAATCCGTCTCTTTTTTCTCTTTCTTTTCTCTATTTTATATTTTAATTTTAATTTTTATTTATTTATTTCATGAATAAATAACATTGTAAAAATGGGATAGCATT